AGCCCTCTCCCCCCCCCTTCCCCCAGCACTTCAGCTCCATGGGCTTTTCTGATGCAAAAAATGAAGACCCACTTCATAGCAGGAAACTTAACCGCCAGCCTTGCATTTCCTACGGAGCAGGGGATAGGAGCCTCTTACTTACCCCTTCTGGTTGCTTTGCTGACTTTTTTGGAGGGTTTGGGGGGCTCTGCTTGCTCCCCAATACAAATCCTTCCGGTTCCTAAAGGGAGCTCATTGCATCTCGTGGTTAATCACTGACGGTGTGTGTGTGTGTGTGTGTGTGTGCGCGTGTGTGTGTGCGTGCACGCATATGGGGGGGTTCTCCTTTGCATGTCAGTCCAACTTGCCTTGCTTGCTAAAAAACCTGTGCTCTCTTTTGCAGCTGTCAGGGTGAGTGGGGAGGTGCATCTGGAAAAAGGGGTGGGGGTGGTGGTAAAATGTTGATAAATCCACCAGCCTTGATCTTCAGCTCCGTGCAGTGGAGTTTGGCGAGGGAAGAGAGAGCTGGCGAAGGGGGAGGACAAGGAGGACAGAGATGAATGGGGGTCGAGAGGAAAAAAGAAAATGAATTGTACCCCAGATTGCAATTGAATCTGATGGGCTTCCCCTGCTCTCGCTCTCACACCATCAGGGCTCGGTCCAGACTTCCCAGCATTACGGTGCACGGCAAACCGCTGAGCCTGATTTCTGGGAGACAGCGAGGTTTGCACAACTGCAGCAAGAAGCCAAATCAAAAAGCCAATCTGCGAGCCTCCAAACTCCACGTCACCCTATCAGCTGGGAGCAAGAGCTGCAACAGAATTACAAGCCATGCATATTTATTCTTCTGAATCTAGGGGGGGATTTTCAGATTGTTTAAAGCAAGCCACAGAGAAACCAGAGGAAACCCTTTCCAAAATAAATAAAGGCAGAGCAGCTGTCTTGCCTTTAACATGCACACATTCACACACATACATCTCTGTGTGATCTCTGTGGGCATATATGTTTTTATATACCTACACACTGTGAGCAGCAATCACTCCTGTATCCTCCAAGTATATAGACTTGACTTTGTGTATTTTGAGCAAGGGGGTGGGGGAGGAATACAGGAGTTGAGCCTCAGAGCAGAAGATATCGATTGCATATCTTAAATTTAAAGGATCTGCCAAACACGGAGATTAAATATAGAAAAGAAATTACACAGGCAGTCGTTCCTGGTATCCGTTTGAATCTGCATGGTTTGGTTTGTGCTTGCAGAAACTACCTAGTCATTTTTTTAACCAAAGTCAAATAACAACATGTGAGGCAGCAAGTCATTTTGAGGCAAAAAATATATGCTGCCTCCAAAGTTGCTATTTTACCTTGGCAGAAGATGACTAGGCTGGTGGTTTCCATGGCCGTGGAATACAATGGTTGCTTTGCATCGTGCACAGGACACAAAATGATGTTTGCACGCAGGTTTGTATCTCCTTGTGATCCCCTCTATTTTCGGCATTCACGTCCACAGCAAGAACAGGCAGACATGCCTCCAGAAGATTTACCTTTTGGCGTGGCTTTTCACTTACTTAAAGAATCACAAAGCCCACATACTGTAAGGCAATGATCCGTGACACAGCTGCATACAGTAGAGCAGTTCAGCAGAAGGATGGGCTATTTCACCCTGCAAAGAGAAGCTGCCACTGCTCTGTCGTACCCCAGTGACTCTGGTCTCTCTCCTTGTCCTGTGAGTTGATGAGGATCATTAAGCAGAAGCGCTCTGGTAAAACTTGAGCACACACACAAGGGAAAACTGCTCCCATCAGAAGCAACTGTGTAAAATGCCGTGAGAAACATGGCCTAAGTCCTATATCGGGCAACAGCTTCTACTGACAGGCACTGACAGGAGATGTACAAAGAGGGAAGAGGACATGGTAGCAAACAGTTATTGGGATGATGACTTGTGAAATGGTTGTATTTACTTCATGCAGCTGACAATGGGAAGGAAAGCTGCAAGTGGGCTGCGGTTAGCTGCAAAAAATCCCTGAAAGTCAGCTAGCATGCTCTGGTTATGGATCCAGAGAGCAGTCGCTGGCCCCACAGCCTTAAAAAAAGGGATTCAGAGACCTAGAAAAAGTTACTTGTTCTAGTTCGGCTACTTACAGTTATTACTCAGAGGGGGACATGGTAACCCAGAGACCACAGAGCAGCTGGAGAAGGCCATGAGGGAACATGATTACTGCCAGACAGGGTGAATGAGTAGGAGAGATGGCTGCATGGAAGAGTGCAGAACGTCCCGTAGGCCCAGGCCTTGGCATGTATCTCCCCAAACATCGCCTGCCACTTCTGCTATCCTCAGATAACCTAAGCAAGGCATTCCCCTGGGTAGGAATGTAGCACGGGATGTACAAGGGCCAGAAAGCGAGGTGAGATCTAACACATGCCGAGGTAACTGAGCTTGGGACCCAGCCAGCCCCCGTGCCAGGCTGGGCACACACAGCTGGCAATTCAGGATGACATCAGGAAGGGGAAGAGCTTCCCCCACGGTGTGCAAGGGTGCGTACACACACGCACATGCACATGTGGCCCAAGCCATTAAAATGCTCAGCAGTCACCTTGGAGCTGTGGAAAAGCCCTTATTAACACCGATGCATAAAAGCGGCAGCACAGTGTTGATTATGGAGACCTGTGGGCATCAAGTACTTTGCTTAATCCATTGGCAGCTGTGCCCATGGTCAGGTTTCATCCAGCCCACTCTGCTGCACAGGGCTGGCCGTGGCGAGCATCAGCCACAGGGCCACTGCTGGTGACATGAGAGTTTCTCCCACGCCATACACGAAAGGCGTTGGTGGCAGCAGGGCCCAGCCACACATTCAGCACTGGGCCCTCCCCAGGGACAGCGGGCTCCCGGAGCGGGGCGGGTACATACACGCTTAAAGCACAGGTCTTGGGATCCAAGGATGCTACTGCCAGTCGGTGCCACTGAGTCTCCATGTGGCCACATCCGTGTCTCACAGCCTCTGTTACGGGGGGACAGTCCCTGGGGTGGCTGCCAGCCCATCTCCTCCAGTGCTGAGCAAAGGAGAAGGTCTCTCCTGGCACATGAAGAAACTCTCCCAAGCCACAACTCATTGTTAAGTGGTTCCAAATAATTGTTTTTGTTTAACTCTCAGTGAGAGCAGGCCTGGAGTTGAGGAATAATGGTACAAACTGCTCGTCAGCAGGA